GACTTGCCCAAGGTCACACAGCCAGTAAACAATAGGACTAGAACCTAGGTTGCCTAACTTCTCATCTATTGCTCTTCCATATTTCAGTTGATGAAAACACTACTTGAAAGAATGATGAGGTTGGCCAAAGACCTGAGTGATAATGTAACTTTCTATTTTAAGGAAAAATTTGATCTGCATTTCTTTGAGTTCTTTGGAGCCACTAGTTTGCCTCTTGGTTAGAACATCACAGCAGTGCTCTGTATTACAGCCTGGGCCAGTGGCAGGGAAGTAGTGCTCATGTTTGGAAGTCATGTTCCTTTGTAGCCACACAGGATCCAGTATCAGTTCCATTTCTACAGTCAGCCTGGGGTCACATTGTAGGTAACTTATTTCCCTAAGGGTAATTGTGTCTATTATCTGCAAAATAGGTTGAATCTGTTTTTTAGAGTTTCCATCTTTCATTTTTCAAAGAGAAGACCTTTTCAATAGGAACTGATCCCAAGAGAGGAGAAAAGAACTGATAAGGAAAGAAATGGATAGTCACCATGTAAAAAGTTTCCCTTCTGGGTTCCCCTCTAAAGGAATATGCAGGATGGGGTTGAAGCATTGGAGGGGCAATGGATATAGAATGTAGAATGTTTAGAATGATAACTGGAGAATGAAAATAAACTGGGATCCCATGTGATGCTTTAAAGATTTCTGGCATTTAATTCTCAATATTTGATTACTGTTTTCCAAATATTGGCACATTTGGTGACTACAGGATAGAGAATTTTCAGCGAAATATCTTGCTATATCTGCACTAATAGTGTAAAGTCCTTCACAGTGGCTAAAGCCCTGTACTCCCTGCAGAGGTGAATAGGAGAGTTCAGTAATGGAGGTCCGTGATGAGTGGCTATTTTCTAATCAAAGTTTTGTAAGGTTGATCTATTTTTATCATCTTGCATGTTAAAAAAAAAAGCCTTCTGGGCAAGAACTTACGGACATATAGCACAAAAAATGTCATGACTGATCCAGGGATTCCTTGGGAATATCAGCTCCTATCTCTTTTAAGATCTGATTTTGGTTTTCTCTGTTCAATCTTTAGTGAGAGCACAATAAATTGCAGAACACTGTGCCAAATGCTACAGATAAGGGATAGAAAAATGAATGTTTTTTGTTGTGAATGTGATTCTTACATGATTTTATACTCATATAAATGCATTTAAAAGTCTCCATCTCAGCAATCCGGGGAGGTTTGCCTTGGAAAAAATAATTTCAAAGCACCTGGTCAGAGTGGCATTTCTCCTCCAGATGTTCAGCATGAGCTAACAGCCCACTGTAAAGATAAGTTATCTGAGGTATTTATTTCTCCATGCATTGTGGCATATCAAGGAATGAAAGACTATAGATAATTTGTAATAACCTTCGATTATGGAACTGAGAAAGGGAGTGGGTGTACTTGGCTTTCTGATCTCTAGATCTTAAACTGCCTAATCTGAGCTGCAAACCTTACAACACTGAGTTCCATTACTAAACCAGGATCTTTAGCAGGCCTCTATTTTCAAAGTTTACCTGTCACCTAGTAGGTGTCATCTGATAAGAAAGAAGACTAGTCATTTTAATCTCCTGGGATAATCAGAGAACTGAAGCCCATACTCTTTATTACTGAATTCAAGTTTAGAAACAGATTATTTTATGTCGAAGTGGTTCTTGATCCCAACCATTTATTTGGGTCATTTTTCCTAGTTTGGAGTTCTGGGGGAAAAAACCTTGAGGACCAGATGTAGCACTGCAGCATTGGATCTGGAATGACCATTTGGGCAGAGCACCAATAACACTTCCTTGTGTTTTGCATTTCATGGGATTTATTGAAATAGAAACTCATTGTAATTGTGCAGTCTTCTGGCCAGTGCCAGGCAGCTTTGTTTTTAATTTGGTTAACTTTATTTTCTCTGAAGAGGCAAAAGAGGCACAATTTAATCTTTGCCTCCACAGGCATATTAAAGCTTACATGTTAATTCAGTCTTATGCTCCTACATTAAATTAAATGCCTTAGGTTAACTGATAAATGGACATGTGCTCAGCTTTATTTTTTTTTGCAAGAATCAGACTTTCATATGGCATTGTTGGACTTTAGAGGCTCTCAGAAAATCTAAATCAATGTTCCCTTCAATTTTTCCAATATATAACCATGTGATTCATATTGCCAATAAAATTAGGAAGCACTACTGCACTGAAGCAAGAATATTGTCCAATTTGTTTGTCTTCCTAATTTTGTACTTTATTTCACATGTCAGTGTTTACATTATATACTTGTATTTTGGGTGAAAAAAGTTAAATAAATCTTGGTAGTTTGAAAAAGTAACTTAAAAAAAGGTTTGTCTTTTAGATGATAAGCTAACTGGTATTTTAAGCATAGCTTTTAAATTATATTGTTTTGTAATTATAATATGAAAGTAGAATTAATACAAGGCTTTTATATCAATTCTCAAATATTTGTTTTGGAATTTTAATCATAATTGCATATATTTATTGTAAAAATATCTGGATTAGAAAACATATTGGATTGTTTCAGGTGGGTCAGAAAATATGATTGGCAGATAATCTGGTGTAAAAAATAAAATTAAAGAATTTGACAAGGGCACACTGACATGCAAACCTTAGTTTTGTCATTACCAACATTTTCAGCACTCCCCCAATGTTCCCCAGCAAGGACTTCCATGCTTAAATGAAGTTCTTGTATAATCTGTACAAATTGTATATTTTACTAAGGGCAATGCTTATCATAAATGTAACACTTCTCTTTGAAGAAGGAGAATGCATTTATTATTTAATATTGAATAAAGTTGGTTCACTTGAACAGAAGAATTTTCAAAAGATTATTAAATTATAGCCTTAATTTGAGAATTCTTAAAAATATAAGTATAGCTAAATATTCTTAGAAGAATGGGTTGCAAAGCTGGTGCAGCTGTATCTTATAAGTTAGCTGAGTTATCAAACACACTGTAACTTATCTTCAATTTTTGTATGAAAACTGCACATAAAAGATTAACTATGAAATGTACCCTTCATTTTTCAAATTGCCAATCCCATTGCACTTTAATAAAAATATAGCATGATAATTTTTTTCTTAATACTTCAAAGTAAGTTTTCAATAACTATCTCATAAGAAGGCTCTGTTTTGGAAATCTGGAAATTATTAATCCATTTGTGGATCAAAAAAACAATAACTGCATAATCATTGAAGAAAAACACTTTAAGGGCTTGCCGGCTGAGTGGCGCATTGGTTAAGAGCTGGCTTGGGATGCCAGAGGGCCCTGGTTTGGATCCCACATATGAGGGGCAGTGACACTGCCCTCTACAGCTAAGATGCTGAACAACAGCTCAACCTGGAGCTGGGCTGCCCTGGGTCGCCGGGGACGGCGTGGGCTGCAGCCACTGCTGCAGTGGGTAGTCATGGGCTATCATATGTAGCCAGCAGCCGCAGTGAGCGGCCGTCCAGAAGCCGACGACTGATCTGCCTCGCCTGGGAAGAGCGCAATGATGGTGCCAACTTGGGCCAGTGAAGCAACGTCCTGCACAATTAGACTGAAGGATAGCAACTTGTCTGTTCCCCTTCCCCCTATTCCCCAATAAAAATCTTAAAAGAAAAAAGAAAAACACTTTAAGAATTATCAAGATATGTAATATTATAAGTAATTTTTAAAATTTTAATTACAGTAATATAGTTTTCATTGAAAATTAAATCCAAGAAATTATTTGCTGCCTAATTGGGCAGTGCATGCTATAGGCACATGCTTAGCTAAAAAATTCATGAGCCAGAATGAACGTTAATCATATCATTTATCTCTTTATAATAATGTTAAGTAGTATACATATTTTATAACATTTATGTAACTTTAATATACAGTATTAATGTATATTTACTTTTATTTTGCTAAAATTAATTAAAATGTCAAAATTTTCTTCATTTTTTGAAAATTTTGTTTATATGTATAACAAAATATGTAAAATATTTTATTTTCCTCCCTTTTTGAAGTTTATTACAATAAAATATGTATTTATGGAAGAGAATTTAGATGTTTCACGTGTTTGTAACTGAGTTCATGATACACATCATACTAAATACAAAAAGGTTTTTCACCACCAATATTTTATAATAGGTCTAAAGTAAAACACAATTAAATGTAAATTTTGTGTATTTAAGTTTAGGCTAAGACAGATGAAACTAAACAGTCGGGAAACTGTTTTTAGAATGACATAAAAATTGCAAAGCGATTTTATAATATAAAATAAATTAATTTTCAGACCCTGATAATAGAAAACCTTAACATAATTGCCAAAGGTTAAAAGCAAATGTTTTAAAAGGTATATTTTTGGATACTGTTCAAATCAATTCTGTATGCTCTTCTCATAAATTTACTACTAATAGGACAATTCATTCTCTTGTCTTAAAAATTACTCATTAACAGAGTTAGCAATTATGTTATCATACTTATCCATTCAAGAAAATGTATTAGACAGAATGAATTAGCAAAATGATGATGCATAGTCCCTGAGATCTAAGGGGTGGGGAAGAAACTGGTCTCTGGAACACAATGGTTAAAGATGTTCACACTCTCCTTTTCTTTTTTTTTTTTTTTTGACAAATATTCTTCAGGCTCATGTGAAATAGATTGATTTTCCTTCATGTCCTCACCTGCCTGCAGAATGTTATGGCTACTATATGTGAAGATCTTATGAATTGCTTGTTGGAAAAGCATTGGAAAATGTTACTGACTTTGACTCCAAGATGAGTACAATTATGCTGGTATTTGTGTTTCTGCAATGGCCATGACATCTCTTGACTGTCTGTCCTTTATTATTTGAAGCAAATGAGTTCATCATGTTATAGGTAATGAACCCAACAAATTAAAATTTTGCTTTCTGCAAGGGTGTGAAATTCATGACATAGGGTTACAATATTTATTTTAAATTAAAACCAAAAAGTAAACACTAAGCACTTCCTAAATTCAGAATTGTTCAATAATACTTACTGTGTACAGGCAAGTTAGCATCTGCAAAGCCCATTCACAGGCACCAGTTCATTTTATTCTTTAAGAACCCTACGAGGCAGGTGGCACTGGCATGTGTAGAAAGGAAGAAGAGCTTATTAATACTTGCAGCCACAAAGCCAATAACGACAATCCTGAGATAACAGCTTGGCATCCATTATTAGAATCTTGTTCTTACCAGCATATTGAGGAATAGATGTGATATCTTGTTCTCCCAGAGCCACAGTTTTCCCCGCGATGGTGGAATGGACGTCACTGACAGGCTGCAAGTGTCAAACACATGCAGCGGAGTAGCAGCCATCAGTTCTCCAAGCTTTCTGCTCAACTCTTCTTGAATCTCACATTTCTTTGCTATCATGAAACAAAAGAAAAGAAAAACTATATTAAAAATCATTCACTGTTATCATTACTGTCATTATTGATATACTGATTTCTTTTAGATGGAAAATAATCTGGGTATTGAGGTAAGTGGTGGGAATTTCCCAGTGTAGTTATGGGACTAAAAAGATAAAGCAACAAGTACCTATAAAAAGTTAAGAACTTGGTTGATTTGTTATATTATCCAGTGATATAAAAACATCCAGATACTTAGGGTCAGCCAGTCCATATTAACCGATTCACCAAAGTTGGAGAGTAGTGCCTGTGGCCCCTGGAACCAGCCAGACCTGGGTTTGCTCCCTGACCCTGTCACTTGCAGCTGTATGACTTCTGGCAGGTTGTTTAAACTCTCCAATCTTCATTCCTCTTATCTGTAAAATGGGGGTAATAATAGGACATACCTGACAGGGTGGTTGCGATGACAGAATGAAATAATGCATGAAAAAAACTTAGCACAGTGCCTGGCAGGTAGCAAGTACTTGGGAAATGTCAGCTATTGTCAAACCTTCTAGAAATAGAAAAGAAGGATATTATTTAGCATAGCTAAACTCACAAAGTTTTGCAGGATGGAAACTATTCTCATCCTGTGCTGGAAGTTTCCATCTGCTATTTTATTGCATCCTTGCATCTTGCTGTGTGGTCTCAATGCCATGGGACAGGTGAGACCCTGAGATGCAGAGAGGTAGACACTGCACTATAGGGCCCCAATTCACATCCCAATCCGCTGGTTCCAAGTCTACGAGTTGTGATCAAATGATATGGTGAATGTTTAAATAAAAGAAAAGTTATTACAGTAAAAACACATTGCCATTAATCCCCCTCAGAATACTACCCCCCACTTTGAACATACTTACGAGGTATGATCAAAAACTGTGGTGAATGCTGCTGCCGAGTGCCGTCCAACGGATAGTCGGGGATCTTCAATAAGCAAGGCAGTGCGTCAAACCTTAGTAAACAGTGTGTGACAAGTTTCAACTTGTTCAGTACAGTCAGTCGGATGTGAGCTACTGTTGAGAGAAGGTGTGTTGTTCAAAGTGTGCCATAAATCATGGATCAGGAACAACGCATTAACATGAAATTTTGTTTCAAATTGCAAAAAAAGTGCTAAAGAAACACATGGAATGTTAAAATTAGTTTATGGTGATCTGCACTGACCATGAAGATGGTTTGCAAGTGGTTCGAGCAATTTCATAATGGTTGTGAATCGACTGAAGACAAGGAGAGATCGGGACATTCTTCAACATCAAAAACCCAAGAGAATGTTGAAAGAGTAAGCAAAATGATTTGATCAAACAAGCGATTGACTATGAGGGAAATTTCTGAGGATCTGAACATCTTTTACGGTTCCATTCAAAGCATTTAACAACAAATTTGAACATGCGGTGAGTGAGTGTGAAATTCGTTCCATGCGTTTTTGCTGTTGAACAAAAGCAGCAGCGTTTGTCAATTTCATTGGAGTTGCATGATGGTGTCACTTCAGATTCCAGGTTTTTAAGACATATCATCACGGGAGATGAAACTTGGGTCTATGGTTACTCTTATGATCCTGAGACCAAGGTTCAGAGTTCTCAATGGAAATCACCCAGTTCTCATGTGAAAAAAGCGAGTCAATCAAGATCTAACATCAAGGTGATGTTAATTGTGTTTTTTGAACTTGGTGGAATTTTGTAAGCTGAGTTTGTATCCAGGTACACTATGATGGACTCTGAATATTTTCAGAACTTATTAGAACATTTAAGAAACAAAGTGTGTAGAAAACAGCCTGAGAAATGGGCAAACGATTTCATCCTCCATCATGACAATGCTGCGTGTCAGATATCACCTCTGGTACGGCAATTTCTGTCAAATAAGAACATTACAGTGTGTCCTCATCCACCTTATTCACTGGATCTGGGACTGTGTGACTTCTGGTTCTTCACCAAAGTCAAAATGACCATGAAAGTAAACGTTTTGAATCGATTCAGGACATGGAGGCAGCCACAACTGTGCAACTACAGACACTCACGAAAGAGGACTTTCAGATCTGCTTCAGAAAGTGGCAAGAAAGATGGGATAAGTGCGTTTGAAGCGAGGGGAAGTATTTTAAGGGGGATTAAAGGCAGTGGGTCTTTTACTGTAATACAATTTTTTAACTTAAACTTTCACCATATTTTTGGGTGGTTTTTTAAAAGATTTTATTGGGGAATCAGGGAAGGGGAACAAAAAAGTTGCTGTCCTTTTATTCTTCAGTCTAGTTGTGGAGGACGTCGCTTCACTGGCCCATGTTGGTATTATCATTGCACTCTTCCCGGGTGAGGCAGTCGCTTGCCAGCCCTTGGACGGCCACTCATGGCAGCTCATTAAAGCTCACGCCCGCTGCCAGCCAGCCCCATTGCAGCCTATGCCATTGCCGGTGACTCATGGCAGCCCAGCTCCAGGTCGAGCTCTTGTTCACCATCTTAGCTGTAGAGGGTGCAGTGTCACTGGCTCTCATGTGGGATCCGAACCGGGGTCCTGCTGCTCAGAACTGGCGTCCCAAGCCAACTCATAACCAACCGTGCCACTCAGCTGGCCCTCACCATATGTTTTGATCATCCCTCATACACTAGTCCTACACCACAGCTACCCACATTGATCAGCAATGAAAAAGACAAGACAGAATAAAAGATGGGCCAGTGGCAATAGCAAGTGCAACGTGCTTCAGAGCAGGGAGAATGATATGAGCTGTCCTGTGGTTAGAACAGACATTGAGGCCCTAACCTGGGTAGAAAAAGATGAAAAGATTTGTTAAAACTAAGGGGAAAGTTGGGCACTCTGAAAAGGTGAGCTCCAAGCCCTAATCGTCAGTCAGAAGTGTACTTTGTGTTTACTTAGAAGCAAGTCAGCTGATCTGCCAGCAATCCTCTGCTGTGGGCTCATTGCAGCCTGTACAGAGGCCTCAGTCAGAACAAGAAGAGGGGCTGAGTTTGGATGGAGAATCACTGCCTGTCCTCAAGGGCTATTCATCACTACTTCCTATCCAAGCTGGGGAAGCCCAGGCCAACTTCTGAGCCTGGACTCTTGCGGTCAGGCTGTGACAGGACATTTATCAGAGGGCTGTGGGGAACCCTGGCCCTCACAGCTGACACCTTTGATCTAAAGGATGGGCACTGGCAGCAGAAAAGGTGAGAACAAGTTGACTTCTGGAGGGTCTGCTGGCTCAGAAGTGATGGCAGGTTGATGAAGTGGCTTAATCCAGCCTGGGAAGGAATATCCAAAATGTAACGGCAAAATAACTGATCAGCATGTCAGGCAGGACATGAATATTCATAAAATATTAGAGCTAGGAGACTCAGTGAACACCGTATCTGTTTTCCTTATTTTATAGCTGAGGAAATGGGCTCAAGGAGACAAAAATGACATGCCAAGGTCACATAGTGAATAGCGAGGATCCTTTAGGACTATAACTTTGGTTTTCTGGCTTTTAATCCAGCCTTGTAGTTAGCTCAGAATTAGTGCATATCAAAACAATCTAGCTATTTACCTGTGTTACCTCAATAAACTTAATTTTAAAACTTCTATTTACAACATTTGTTCAGATTGAATTTAATGTGAAATCAAGGAAGATTATAATCTGGGCAGCAGTGAGGCAGATGTGTACTATCATGTCACTTCACTCAATTCCATTACAGAAATCTAGTTAAAATCTTGTTCGCCACACTCTACAAAGCTAAGAAAATAAATTGATTCCTTAATAACAAAATGTATTTACTACCTAACATAGTGCTCATAGGTCAGTGTTAAATGAATAAATGGATTAAAAAAAAGGGTCATGGACAAATTATTAACATCATTTAAGAAAGAGCTTAAAAAAGAATAAACAGCTGTCAGCTAAAGTGTAAAACTTTTCCTCATTTTTTTCCAGCCCTGAGGACCCAACTCATCTAGAGAAAAACTGAGACTGATTTAAAAAATGAAACCTCTATAAAATTGTCTTCAAAACAAAAAAAAAATAGGATTACATAATAGAAATGGTGGCATGAGGTGAGCCTCTTGAAATATCCCCTGGAATTTGCAACGAATTGAACAAATTCTACAACGGACTCGTAGCACAGAAGACAGGGAAGACTAAGAAATGCACAATTGAAATCATCTAAACGTGGGTAAATTGGGCTAGTGGGAGATGAGGGAGAGGGGAAGTGCAGAGATGTGGGCATCGGGGGCTGCAGGACACAGACCTGAGCTTGAAGCTCCAAGATCCCTGCATTCCAGAGCTACCACAGTCCCGGGAGAGGGGAGAATTCAGACTGCTAGCACTCCCCTTATGGCCCACAGTCCTGCCTGAGGGATCAGCATATAACACGGCTTAACGCAATGTGAGAACAGTGGTTTAAGCCCTTATTGCCAAGCAGAGGACAGAAGACTTAGGCACAGAGCCTAGCCGACCACTTCCTACCTTCCCAGTGCTCGCCCACCCACATCTCCCCAATACTAGAAGCACAACAGTAGCAGTGTCAGGTCAAGTGAACAAAATATTTGCATTTCTGGGAACTGCAGTCCCACAGGCATGGACTCATGGCCCTACTAGTTGCCATGAAGCGGGGCGGGGTGGGGGTGGGGCTGGGGCAGGGGCTGAAGGAGCCTTGGGAGCAGGATTGATTGGCTGTGCTGGTATTGCCGCCATTGCCCACAGCCACCTCTCACAACCCACCCCTCTCCT